TAGAGGGGATAACGCCTTTTTTTTCAAAGGTGATTTTTCAAAAATTTATTTTAAAAAAAGTACTAACTAGCAAATGTTTTTTATTAGCTCGCAATTTTCTTCAAAACTACTTCAATGAGGAAAAAAATAAAAATTTGGAATATCTATACATGAGGGGCTAATTGATCGGATCTGGGTGAACATTGATTCCAACTATTTAAGCGACGGGCTATTCAGAACTCTCAAAAGTATGTGGAAAAAGTGAAAACTGAGAANGTTGGCGAAAGTCGACTTTCCCTGTGGAAAAACAGAAAATCTGAATCTTTGGCTCGGGGTGAAAAAAAAAATTTTATTTCGACTTTTGTCGCGCCTTCGGGGGTTTCATTGGCATCAGAATTGTTAGAAAATACAGAATCAACTTTCACTTGGCGAAAAAATTCAATTTTGGCGAAAATCGACTTTCACCCTTCACCCACGTGAAAAAGAAAAAATTTTTTCCCCATTCCTGTCACCTCCGAGGGTTTCATTGGCATCAGGGGGTCAATAAATACAGAATCAACGTTCACTATTTTTTATTTAAACACCGCCTGCAAACGGGGAGATGAGGGTGGCTAAAATATATTCTGCAACCCTGTCTCCTCGTTGGCTACAAATTTCAACCCTCCGCATACATGCCTTCCCCTTCACCCGCTCGTAAAATCACGCGTTCTCGGTAGCATCGAGGAGGACTTCTCAGGACCGAAAAGAACTGAGGATTCGAATGGTCTCTAGAAAAGTACGTCGCAGAAGTGATTAGGACTTACCAGGTCCATCTAGGTCTGGAGAGATCTTGAAAGACCTGTGTACGTCCAATCAGAACCAAATCCTCGACTCGGGTGAGGGTCAATTTAAATAGTAAGTTGAAAACTCTCAGGGAACTGGAGAAAAGTGAGGTGAGAGGGAACACCGGGTGGATTCGTTGAAAATTAAAAACTTTTTATCAATAAAATTGATAAATGCGACGCACAATACACAGAGAAAAAGGATTGGATAAAAATTACTTAATCTAAGTAGTCGAAGAGCGAAATAGATCTCAGGAATTTTGTTTTGAAATCAAGCGGAAAAATATGAGCCAAAGGATAAATTTTTCCTTTTGTAATGCAATTTATCACACACGAACAGTAAAATTTGTGAGCTGTCGGTGAAAAATACCAGAGAGACGTATAAATCTCAGCGTCCTTTTGGTGAATTATTACTGTATTATTTTGCAAAATATTGGTAATTTTTTTACTGCCTCTTCCTGCGGTATTTTTCCGATTTTTTTTTCAATGTTAGTTTTTTTTTAATTACCAAACCGTCCAGGTAATCGAGACGCGAACTGGATTTCAGGAATTTTTATACGCAATCAAGGGGAAAAATATGATGCAAAGGATGAATTTTTGCTTTTCTAACGTAATTTCTCCGGAACTTACTATCAAATTTGTGAGCTGTTGCCTAAAACTACCCGAAAGACGGATAATTTCCACCGTTTGTTGCCTATTCTCTTCTCCATTCACACTGAAAAAAAAACAATTTCCAAGATGAAAATTCTATGTTTCTTGCGATGAGAATGAATAATTTGCAAAATAATTCGCGTTCGGTATAATCGATAATCATTAAATATCTAAATATTAATTGTTGCAAACTGGCCCAAATTACACGATAATTCAATGCGCTGTTTTACAAATTATAAATTCCTGTCTGAGTAATTTTCGAATTTCTTTCAATCTCCCTAACCATCAGGATAACTACGTGCAATCTGAAATGAGAAAGAAAGAGAAAAATAAATTTCCCGCGGCCCACTCTAATTTAATTAAAGACTAATAATCAATTCAGTCGATAAATTGGAAATTTTCCAAGGGACAAAAGAAAAAGTGAGCCGGAGAGAAAATGCCGGATGAAGTCATTGGCAACTAAAAACTTTTCATCGATGAAATAGATAAATGCAATCGAGATAAAAATAATGAGTTTGCCAATGGGGTTGATCGGTCGGAGGAAGTGGTGCAACTCAATTAGCTAGCGGGCAGGATGCCTTAGGGACTACGTGGGCGTTTTCTCCTTCAACAGATGAAGACGTAGGAGGGGTGGCCCAGGCAAGCATGCAATCACAGTAAAGAGTGCTGGTCCCTGGCACATATATTACTCAACCAATATACGTACATAAACGCATACACAGGTGGTAACACTGAAGGTAGCGAAGAGTAACGTGGTTTTCACATGCTACGTGAAATGTTGCTATGACCCTAACCCTTATAATTTCAGTGGCCGTAGTGTATACTAACGTCGGTCTCGGTAAAACCCCGTAGACCACCTTTCGCCAAGGAGCTTTCCCAGGAGTGTTAGCGAGTCTTGAATAAGTTCTAAATTGTGTAACACCTTGCAACCCCCTTAACGCCAATGCAATACCTCAATTCTTTGTTCTCACACCTGAGCAGCTGATGATTTTCACCAATTTTTTTCCTCCATACGTCAGGACGTGAGATACAATCTGAGGCCACTCTAGGGTGGAGTGGCTGTCCACATAACACGGATTTTTCACTGTAAAAAAGGGAGGCGGGTAAATGTACATATAATGTGTAGGTGCGGGTCGCGGAAAAGGCGTCGCCGAGTCTCCAAGTCGGATGGCGCCTCAGGGAGGTGTCGCGGTAATATTGAATTTATGCATTACGAGACCATTTCTTTTCATGCAGCCGCCTAGTTTAAATTACGACTGGGTATACCCGAGCTCAACCGCCCTCGACTCTACCTCGACCTCCTCTCGCCACCTATTCCCCCTCTCTCAAACTGGTTCACTCGTTTTACGTCCGCTTTTTTCTGATTCTGCTTTTATAAAAAAATCGGTAAAGCTCTTCCGTAATACAGGACGTAACCTTTGGAAATGAATGCCAGGTGATGGGGTCACCGGTTTCATTTTTGCAGGATCGTAATCGTGAGGACAGAATATTTATTTTAATGGTATAAATGAACGTATATTCAAGGTACAATTCGAAGTGATAGGAATACGTACAGACAAATCTAAACGTAAATTACATTTTGCTGTTCGGTGGATTTTTTTTCGTCATGAAAATCGGATTTAGGCTTCAAAAAGGTGGATTTTACGGTCCAAATGAAAACGTTTACTAAACGTTTTACTAAACGTATTTTACGCTTAAGAAATCATAAATTACAATTTTAACAGAAACGTATTTTACGATTTACTTATGCGTAATTACGAAAAACAACATCGTATTTTATGCTTAAAGTGACTTTTTTTTATTCGTCGTTGATTACAGATAAGTAAACCTAAAATACGGAAAAAATCATCGCAATTTACGAATAAGAAACCATAAATTACATTTATGTAATCGTAATTAACTTCAAGCATAAAATACACTTTAGAAAGCGTAAAAGACGATTTCTTGAACGTAATTTACATTTTGATTTTTTCTGTTTGTAAATCGCCACATGAGCTAAATTGTTCTACATCTTCATGTGACAACCATCCGATCACAACTGACGCACTCTTCGTTCTCTCCCTCCCCCAAACACTGTGGAACAAAACTTTTCTCAGTTATAACAATGCTGTTTTCGTAAATGATAAAAATTTCCGGCATACCTGCTGATTGTCGAGTAATACGAAGTTTGTTGGAAATTAGTTTAAGATGGAATTAAGATTTCCAGGGAGAGACCATTAAACCTCTTGGTTTATATCTCAGTGGGCATATAATTTCTTTCTTGTTCCTGTTCTCTTTCACGTTTCTGTTTTCCGGGAGGTGGTATTTAATTGTCCTGATAAGGAGACTAGAACTTCTGATCTAGTAGATTGATTCTGATGAACTTCTTCCATTCATGTACACATATCCATTCTGCCGGATTATCCTGGTTTAATGATATCGAGGGGCTCACCACAGTGGTACATTAATATCAGTCCTTCATAATCCCAAGGCCATTCAATTTTTTATTGAAAAACGCTCTATTATCGAGAGTAAAATCCAATAAGAACTGAGGCGCTTGAACAAGTAGTATTACAGTTGGCTCAGTGGCTAGTCAGACAGAATAAATCGGCCAGAAATTCCGGGAATATCATTTCGTGAAAATTTATATCCGGTTGACTTAAAAAATCCATGAATATTCATACCAGAATTAACCACCGATTTCAATTGTGGCCTCGAGTTTTGCCATTAAGGAACGCGAAAAAAAAGACCTCAGATCATGGAGTATATGCGCCGCGGATATCTTCATATCGGAAAAGGGCCCATCACATTTTTCATCCAATATATTCCGCAGATAAGTCGGGGTATAAATTCAATTTTTATTTTCTCCTCTGTTTTCGTTGTCCGATATCCCCCCCCCCTCACCTTGATTGTGATGAATCGCATATAATTACGGCAGCGAGAGTCAGAGTACGTAGTGGCCCTGTGTATAATGGAAGCTCCGTCCGGTCGATAGTAGTAGACCGTTTAAGAGCCCATTTGAGAGAAACAGAGAAGGGCGG